CGTACACCCTTCCCAATTTTGAACCATGCAGTGTTGCCCCGCTCTGTTCTGATGACTGCCTCTTGGTCCAAGTACAGGTTTCGCATTTGTTGCTCTTAGAGTCACTATGGTAGTATTTACTTGATGGCACCTAACAACAACAGCATAGGACAGAGTTTAACTCTTCCATGGGTTTTCCAAGGCTGCAAATCTTTTCTAAGGCTTTAGAAAGAAGCAAACTACATCCATGGAGCTATTGATGGGTTAAAACTAATGATTTTCTAATTCACTGCACAACAAGGGCTCTCTTTTGTTTGGCTTAATTGAAAAGAAAACACATTTCCTTAGGGACAAGATTGATTCTGTGTAAAATATTAATAGACTGCCTATAGCACTCCCTCACCTCAAAACCTACTACACAGCGGGGGTAACCAAAACAGCATTGTATTCGTACAATGATAGGCACATAGACCAGTAGAATAGAATTGAGAAGCCAGAAATAGACCCAGCTATCTATGGTCAACTGATATTCGACAAGAAAATAAAAGCTATTCAATGGGAAAATGACAACCTCTTCAACAAATGGTACTAGCAAAACTGGACTGCTACCTGCAGAAAGCTGAAATAGGATCTACATCTCACACTATACACAAAAATCACCTCAAGGTGGATCAGAGACTTGGGAGTAAAGCCCCAAACCATAAAGTTCTTAAGAGACAAACTTGGATCAAGCTTAGAAAGCCTGTCTACGGTATAAAGAGACTGCCAAATACAGCCAGAAATGCACAGTCTGAAGAGGATAAAATTGATGAACGGGACCTTCTAGAGATTAAATCCCTGTGCACATAAAAACTTTTTCCAACAGGGTGAAAAGAAAACCTACTAACTGGGAACAAATATTTGACAATACCATCTCAGACAAGAGTCTCATAACAAAATCTGTAGAATACTCCTGGGTCTCCACAAGAAAAAGACTGATAAACCATTACAAAATGGGGAAAAGATATGGAAAGAATTTTCACAGAGGAAGGTATTCAAATAGCCAAGAAACACATGAAGAAATGCTCAAAATCATTGGCAATAAGAAAGATGCAAATCAAAACCACAATGAGATACCATCTCACTCCAGTAGCAGAGGCAAAGTTTAAAAGGACAACAATTAATAAAAGTTGGAGAGGATGTGGTGAAAAGGAACTCTTATATATTGTTGTTGAGATTGTAAAATGGTACAACCACTCTGCAAGAAAGTTTGGTGCTTCCTCAAAAAGCTGAACATAGAAATTCTATTTGACCCAGCTATTTCATTGTTTACAACATACCCCAAGAAAATGAGAACTGAGGCTCACACAAAACTTGTACACCAATGTTCATAGCAGCACTATTCACCATCACAAGAACATGGAAACAGCCCAAATGTCCAAGCATAAACAAATGAGTTGAGAAGTTGTGGTACATTCACACAATGGAATACTACACAACATGCAGGAGCAATGATTTTGTAAATTGCTACCTAACTTGGGAGGGACTGGAGAGCATTATGCTAAGTGAACTAGCTCAGTCCCACAAGGACAAATAGTGTATAAAACCATTATTGTAAAATGAATATGAGGATCCAAGGCAGGGAGGTGAAGGTGGAAATAGAGGGAAATAGAGAATGGAGGGACAGGGTGTTAATCATATGGTTGCACAATTCAGTGTCTGAATGTAGTCTATGTGTGTGCATGCGTACTGAGCTATGCAGTTTCCAAAGTATCGTCTAAATGTGCTGCCCCCATGGGGGGCACCAGGATTCCTTGCCCAGCAGCTGGGCTTGAAGAGAAACGGTTGGTTGAAGAAGCTAGGCCCTTGCACTGCAATCCCAGAGGCGCACGGTTCAAATCCACCAGATGCTCTGCCGGGAAAGGAGGGACAATCTCCTCCTGTACCAGTCAGATCTGATTTGATAGATGATTTGACGGCATGCGCGCGTGCGCGCGCGCGCACACACACACACACACACACACACACACACACACACATTTTTTTTTTTTAAAAAGAAGCTAGGCCCTAGAAATGGCCCAGCACTGTGGCTAACAGAGCCATGTATATGTACATGCCATTCTCAGCCTGGCGGAAATAGGCCGCTCGAGGGTCCAAGTCCACTTCCACACTTATCTCATTGACACGGGGCATTGGGTGCATCACTACCATCTTCTTCTTGGCCCAGGTCATGATGTGAGGAGTGAGGATGAACTGGCCAAAGCAAGCTTCGTACTCCTGGGTTGAGCCAAAGCGTTCCTTCTGGATTTGAGTCATGTAGAGCACATCGGTGTCAGGCAAAGCCTCCTCAATGCTCTCAAATTCCTCCTGCTTGGTGCCCCGGGAAGCCACAAAAGCCCGGACATTGGGTGGCATGATGTGCAGACTAGGAGGTGCCACATAAC